TTAGTGTGGGTTATAATTACTTGAACAGGATATCTAGGATACATTAAGGATATATTTAAACATAAGCTTTCGGTTGACTGCAATATAATGCCCTGAGATCTTTATTTGTAGCCTGTTTACATTTGTAAAAAGAAGGTTTTAAACTAGTCAATGACAGACTTAAGGATCTTAATTAAATTAATGGTATAATCTCAGGTCATTTTTGGAAGTGACTTTATTATTCTGTTGGTGCGATTTATGAAATATATCCACATGTTAAGATAATGGTAATTTTTCGAAATAAATCAATAAATACAAATTTTCAAAAAAAAATTTAAAAAAATATCATTATTATATAAATAGTTATTTCCCATGCTCTTCAGATCCATCTAGTGGTCATAATTATATACATTCTTATTCCCTATGCTCATCGGCTCCATCTAGTGGTCATAATTATATCAATTCTTATGTCCTGTGCTCATCGTCTCCATCTAGTGGCCATAATGCAGTATTACATCCCAATACATTGGACTGGAAAAGAAAACATCTGACAATCGTTCATTTTTGCGTCCATCTGCACAATAGAAATGTTTAGAAAGAGCCGTAGGGCGAATGGTTATAGATAGACCCCTAAGTGATACATGAACTGCTCTGCCAGTTAATGTGTATGGAAACCCTAATAATGATCTTTCTTATTTTGTCCCTTTATGATGTAATGGAGATCATATGAGGATTGTACATTGATCATCAGATTGTAGCGCTTTCCTTTCTCTAGCCAACGCTATATAATAGTAATTTATCATAAGGGTTAGTGTTAGGGTTACCATAGGGGTTAGGGTTAAGGTTGGGGTTTCCATTTTTTGCCTTTGTAAATACCCTATTTCTTCCATTGATGTAGCAGTCACTCAACCATCTCCTTCTCAGTTTTGCAGTCAGAGAAATGGCACCATGGGCCGGAAGTAGTGGCATGCACAGGTCTCTGTTTAGTGATGGGGTGCGTCTATATGTTGGTTAGGGCATGCAGTGGTGTCGTCTTTAGGCGCAGCAATGGAACCAGGGCCGGATTTCCAACAAGGCCAACCGAAGCTCGGCTTCAGGGGCAGCAGGGAGTAGAGGGGCAGAAGGAGTGTGGAATTCCTATCTCCCAACACCCAGGACAATCAGTTCTGGGCGCCGGGCGGGTAGTTGTTTTCTACATTAAGCCCTGCTTTGGGCAAGCAGAGCTAAATGTACAGCGGGGAAGCCGCCGCTTGTTTTGTACAAATGATCTTGGCAGGGGCGTACCGAGGCCGGGTGTCACCCGGTCTCCAGACCAGGTGAAACCCTGTCGTTTCCTCATCGCGCATGCGCGTGACGTCACCTCGCATGCGCGGCCATCTAAGTGACGCCTGCCGGCGGCCATCTTGGTGGTGGACACCGGCAGAGAGAGGCGGGGACGTTCACCCGGCGGGAAGAGGTATGCCGCCAGGTCCCCTCCTCTCTCCTGACACTGTCTGGGTTTCAGTCTATGACCGAGTTCCTGACTTTTTAGGCGGGGTGACACCTAAATGACTGTTAGTCATTTTGGTGTCACCCCTGCAATAGTGTCACCCTCCGCACCCCCCTTGTGACACCACTGGATCTCGGCGATGTCGCCGAGATCTCTTGTATGCAGCCTGCATACAGGGGGGCGCATTGATGAACCCGGCATTGGGGCAGCAGAGAGAGTAAATCCGGCCCTGAATGGAACACCCCTTCGCTTCGCTCTTGGCCAAGTTCACACCAATGCTTCAGTGAAGAAAGGACACCCTACATTACAGAAGCTGAGGGTAGAAAAGGGTTCATCTTTAACCCCAACCCTCAGAACTAAATCCTAGCACTTGAACCCTTAAATGTAACCCTGACACTAAGGGGTCTATTTAAAAAAAAAAATCACAGAGCTGATCTCTCTTCAAATCTCTGTGAACGTTTGTGAAGAGAGGTAAAAAGGAACGTCCTTGATATATTTTCTTATTGGTTTAAATGCAATGTAATACATCATTATGACCACAAGATGGCACCAAGGAGCATAGGAAATAAATAGTTATTTCTTATACTCCTTATTTCCATCTAGTGGCCATAATGTGGTATTACATTTCATAAGACCTGAACATTCTAAGATCTGAACATACTAAGAACATTCGATTAGTTGCCTCTATTTACACAACATGATTGTTAACAGAGACTTGCAGGGTGAATGGTTCTGCTAATTGTTTATAAGCAGACCCCTATCACTACTCTGACATTTAAAGTGTATGTAAACTTGTTTTAGTTTTAGGTAAAGTGGGGAGGGAGTTAACCTTCTTTTATCATTTGATGATAAGAAGAAGCAATGCAGGTTGTTTTGAGTCCAAGGTCTTCTTTTTTGTTAGTGATCTCTGCTTTTCACCACAATGAGGATATAGTGTTACCTTTGTTGTCCGTAGCTCAGGTTACCCTAAGGTGATCTCTCTCCGTGGTGTGGTTGTGATATGGGTCATCAGGGTTTACCTCTCAGCCACTGCTGCTTTTCGGCAGATGGATTCCCTGTTTGTAATCTCAGAAGGTCCTACAAGAGGTTGTCCAGCTTCCAGATCCACTATCTTTAATTGGATCCAACAGGTTGTTGTTCAGCCCTATGAGTTGCTAAATAAAGTGCCTCCTGTTCCAGTTAAAGCGCCTCCACTAGAGCAGTAAGTACCTCTTGTTTTTTTTTTGTTATCAGTCCTGTAAGGCTGCCATCTGATCTTCTGTACCTAAGTTCTACCATGTCAATGTATCTCTATCTGCAGAGTCTAGATTTGGTTGAAATGTTCTCCAAGCCACTATTTGATGCCCTTGGCTCCCGTTTGGTTCTTTTTTATTGGGCGGTTCCTCTCTGTTGTTTGAGTTGCCAGCCACTCATTTGGACTGATTTTGGATGTCCCTTCCTTGCCTATTATGATCAAAGCTGTGACGCTCAATTGACAAATCTGATTTTTTTGTACTTACTGTAATACCCTTTTCTAGACATGTAAGCTGTGGAAAAATTCAGTTCGGTTCGGATATTTCGCTATTTCGGGATGCAATTTGGTTCGGATTCGGACGAAATCCGAATTTTCATTTGTTTCGAGTTTATGAACGGATATTCGTAAAAAATACCACAGAAAACCATATACCGATAGTAATAGTAAAGCTGAGGCTCCTAGACCTGAATTTAGCTCCTCAGCTTTAGTATTATATGTAATTATAGCACCCTTGTTGCCGTAACTAAAATTCGTATTCAGACCCATGCGGATGCATTAAACCAAAAAACACCTTTGATTGGCCAGAAAAGTCACATGTCCGATTCAGTTTCGTTTTTGAAACGAAATTCGGACGGGATCCAAAATGCATTGGGATTCAGAAGTTCGGATGTGTCCGAATGCCCGAATTTCAGGAAACTTCATACGAATTTTGATTAGGAACGAAACAAATTGCACATGTCTACCCTTTTCTTGGAGTCTATTGAGGGATACCATATTCCCTTGCTACAACTGAACAGGTGTGAGGAGTTATAGCCTCTTGGCTTCAGTTTCTACGTGTCTAGTGTCCATTACTCCTGTAGACGGCAGTGAAACTCTGCAACACAAGATATTTAATGTTACGATATCCCCTAGACCTCAAAGTGTATGTAAAGGGAACCTTTTGTTTTCAGTTTTGGATGCAGTGAGGTAGTGTTGGCCCTTCCGTCAAGTTTTTATTGTTGTCTGTGTCACCTTCCCTATTTTTCCTGGTGGCTCTTGTCAAGAAGTAAAGAAACCTCAACTTTTAACATTGACCCTCCCAACTCCAATCTAGCCCTCAACCTAATTTTAAACTCAATGTCCTCTAGCCCTCAACCTAATTTTAAAATCAATGGCCTTCTTAAGGGCCCTACTTCTATCTGCAGCAAGCGCTTTCAGACTCAACCAGCACCCAAAAAATTTAATTTGCATAATTTTCAGTGTGGGAAGCTGAAGTAGAAACTTTGAGGACCATGTTTTATAAGAAACATATGAGACTATATTTGTATTGTGCACCAGCAGACGCGGTTGTGGATGTACAGTACTTCTGGAAGGTTGGGTATAAAGCAATGATTTGCTCGCCTCTGCCCAGTGTCCGGAAACCCTCTTGTTTTTGGGATGGATGGTGGAGTGAGACATGTGGATGCCTTCGATTTTAGGAAGGCCTTACTGTGCCACGCACTGATTTGGCTGGGTTGCTTTTTGATTCCTTGAGTCCCTCACCTGCCGGCTGCATACAAGTGATCTCGGTGACATTGCCAAGATCAATTGTAGAAAAACAAGCTGTAAATTTAGCTCTGCTTGCCCAAAGCAAGGCTAAATTTAGAAAACTACCCGCCCAGCACCCGGAACTGCATGTCCCGGGCATCGGGAGATAGGAATTCCACACCCCTGCTGCCCCTCTACTCTCTGCTGCCCCAAGACAGGGCCTTGGTTGGCCTTGTGGGAAATCCGGCCCTGGTTATACTGTCCCTATTAGAAAAAAAATCAATTCACACAACTATTTTTTGACTGTTTATTACAATATTGTGGCGAATAAGCTCAATTTGGAAGGAACAAAGAAAGAAATTGATACTTGAGTATAAGAGTAACAGCCACATTATGGTGGAGGAAGATTATAAATACAATTATTATCAACCCAATGATTCTGTATTATATAGAACACATAGACTGCAAGCTACCATAAAACCAAGGCTGTTTTTTTTTGCTTCAGCTGGAAAATGCGTCAAAATCATAAACATGAAACTAAAATGTTAATACAAATGAAGGCCACCATAAATTAATGAGTCATGCAGGTGTAGGAGTTAGTTTGCTATAGGTCCTGGCTTTACCGGCTTCCAAAGTTCTTATCATTCGCCATTCTTGGTGCAATTTCCTCTCAATGGGCACCCTTACAGAGCATGTCAAAATTATTGGATTTCATTAAATAGCATGATTGGGAATATTGATTTTCTGCTGGAGAACATAGCTGGTGTATAGATACTTGAGGAGAACTTCATCTTACTTGTTCTTCTTTTGGGATTGGTATTGATAAACCTGGGGTTGTTGGGTTCCTTGGTACTCCTGTGGGGCTTGTGGGCTAATGGCTGCGTCTTTCTGGACTTCGGAATAAGAAGGTGGCTGTTGTGAGGGTTGAGTTCCTTGACCCAGAGTCGGGGGAGGTAAGTATACTGACTGTTGATAGAATCTCTGAGGATCCTGTTGGGCTTGTCCAGAGTAATCCTGTGCAGCTTTTTGGTCTGCTGGGGATTTTTGATCTTTACCCTCCTGGTATTTTTGGGATTGTGAAGTGGTGGTGATGGTGCTACCTACTTGAGTTGTCTGGGATTTACCCCCCTGGTTTTGGGACTGCGATGTGGCGGTGGTAATGGTGGTACCTACTTGTGCTGTTTGGTCTTTATCCTGTTTAGGTTTAGCAGCGGTTGAGCAGGTGCCCTGCTGGGTTGGGGCCTGAGAAGTGTCAGAGCCAGATTGAGTTTGCTTTTTATCATCTTTGTAATATTGATACTGAGAACTAGTGGAAGTGGCAGTGTTACCTGCTTGAGAACCGGAGGAAGTGGTGGTGGTGGAGCCAGCTTGATATGTTTGATTTTTTCCCTGTTGGCTCTGCTGTGAATTGGAGGAGGCGGTGGTGGTGGTGCCTACTTGGGATACTTTATCTGTTACCTTTGGGCTCTGCTGGGAACCGGAGGAGGCGGTGGTGCCTACTTGGTATACTTTATCTGTTACCTTTTGGCTCTGCTGGGAACCGTAGGAGGTGGTGGTGGTGGTGGTGCCTACTTGGGATACTTTATCTGTTCCCTGTTGGCTCTGCTGGGAACCGGAGGAGACGGTGGTGGTGGTGGTGCCTACTTGGGATACTTTATCTTTTCCCTGTTGGCTCTGCTGGGAACTGTAGGAGGCGGTAGTGGTGGTGGTGCCTCCTTGGGATACTTTATCTTTTCCCTGTTGGCTCTGCTGGGAACTGGTGGATGTGGTGGTGGTGGTACCTGTTTGACCGGTTCCCTGTTGGCTCTGCTGAGAGCTGGAGACGGTGGAAGTGGTGGTACCTACTTTAGGTGAGGTTTGATCTGTTCCCTGTTTGCTTGGCAAGGAGGTGGCACAGGTTCTGGTGGTACCAACTTCAGTTGTTTTGTCTTTTTCCTGTTGGCTCTTTTGGGAACTGCCGGAAGTGGTGGTGGTGGTGGAGGTGTTGCCTACTTGGGTTGTTTGACTACTATCTTGCTTATACTGGGAAGATGAGGTACCTGGTTGTGTAGCTGGAGCCCTGCGTGCTTCAGTCTGAGTTGAGCTATTCCCTGAGCTTACTTTACCTAATGAACATGTGGCACCTCCTGACATTTGCCCACCACTTTGATCTGCACTGCTTCCAGTTTGGCCATGGTGTGAAGACTTATCTTCAGAGCTTTTACCAGGCTCGGGGTGCACAGGCTTCTGGTAATATTTAGGAGGGGCAACGCTTGCCTGTGATGAATCCTGCTTTGTTGTATCACCTTGCTTCTCTGGCAACCCTTTTTGGCATGCAGCATCCGATTCATACACTACTTTGTAATAACTTTTCAGCACCTTACAGACAAGGTCGCAAAATTCATTGAAGTCCACTTCCCCGTCATTGTTCTCGTCGAGAACTTTAAGCAAAGTTGAGATGGTATTGGGATCTTTAGGGTTCTGAAAGAAAAGGGAATGGGTTTTTTAATTATGGGAAGGAGGGCTGACCAGAGGTCGCAAAATGAGTGTGTTGAAGGCAACTCTCCTTAAAAGATAATTGAGCCCAAGAACAAAATAGTAAAATATTGAGCAAGTCCTTAGATGTTGTTGCTGCATTCGTTTTACGTTTTTAGGCTAACAACATGTTTAGCAAGTACAGAAAATACATGTCGATCTTTCCAGAACTGCCACTTTCTGTGAGCTGCACTAAAAGCAACTACAATCTTATCTTCCTTTCGTAAACTAGTAATCCTCCCATCCTACATATAATAGAGATGGACATGTGAGTAGTCTAGCTTGACTATAAAACGAATGCAGCCACCACATTTAAGGACCGGAGGACCGGTAAACTGCTATATATTTTTTGTTTTGGGTTTAGCTAAGCCCCAAAAATATTATTCAGCCAGATAGAAAGACTCTATGGCCAAAAGTATGCAGACCCCCCCCCCCCCCTCTAAATGATTGAGTCCAGGAGTCTCCAGTTATTGAGTCAGGAGTCTCCTGCGAAGGGTGCTGTATATGCTACAGCATACAAAGACATTTTAGACAATTGTCCTCTTCCAACCTTGTGGTAACAATTTGGGGAAGGCCCTTTTTTGTTCCAGCACGACTGCCCCCTGTGTCCAAAGCCAGCTTGATAAAGACATAATTTGACTAGTTTGGTGTGGAGTGGCCTGCACCAAGCCCTGACCTCAACCCTCCTGAACAGCTTTGTGTTAAATTTGAATGCCAAATGTGAGCCAGATCTTATCCAACATCAGTACCTGACCTCACAAATGCCCACAGACACCCCCCAAAATCTTGTAGAAAGTCCTACCAGTCCTACTAATGGCCATGATCTTGGAATGGAATGTCCAACAAGCTCAAATGGCTGTGGTGATCAGGTGTCCACAGACTTTTGACTAGACATATAGATGATAGATAGATAGATAGATAGATAGATAGATAGATAGATAGATAGACATGACTACTCTTAATAATTGTACAATGAAAGCAACTACTTCCTGAACATCTGCATAATTTCATTAAACTGTTTACAATGTATTTATTAGGTTAGTAACGCTTTAACATTATCCAATTACTGGCAACTCATCTTACCTTAATGACATCTGCAAACTCATTCTGAATCAGAAGGTTGAGTTCCTGTTTGTTCAGCTTGGTGTGGCTGCAGTCCTGCTTGGAATATTTTTCAAAAAGCTCAATAATGTCACGGATTGACCCGACGAGTTTTGTCATTTTTGCAAATTACGGTTTTGTCCTTCAGGTAGAAAAACAAACAAACAATATTAGACATTTTAAAATCCTTTATCAGTAAGTAAAATAAAAAGAGCTTAAGATGCAGTGGCGTAACAATAGCCATAGGGGCCCATGCGGCTGCTATGGGGCCTGAAGGTGGAAAGGGGCCCCAATAAGGGTTGCAGAAGTTGCTTCTGACACTGACATTATTAATCAAGAAGACCTGACATCAGATGTACAGGGGGGGACTATGCAGGCAGCTCTCCTGCTACCTGACTTTAATATCATTGACAGTAGGGAGGTTGCGGGGGGACCCCATCAAAATTTTGCTATGGGGCCCCATGATCTGTGGTTACGCCCCTGTTAAGATGTATCCTGCTTTAGCATTTGTAAGGGCCCTAATAGACTCAAGTCACCCCACCTCTTCCTTTCATTTTCTCCATTGTCCTCTCTCTCTCCTCCTCATCTCTCCATACCCCGTGGAAAACGATTGAGAAGGTGCAACCACACAGTAGATGCAAGCTCTTTTGAGTGACAGTCTTCTGAAGTGCTGTGTGGCCTCTAATATCTAGTAGGAAGCTTTGTTACACTTCCTGGCTATCACTGGAGGAACTCTTGGAAACTACATTCCACAGATAATTCTCCTTGGAATTAGTGGGTTAGTGCCAATTGAGTTGGCCCACTGAAGGTGGTACCAGTGGTCCTGAGGAGAGATGAGCAAACTTCTTATAAGGTTGATCAGTTTTGGTTCAGCCGATTTCTTTTTAGAAATTTCTAAACCTCTAACATTTGAAGTTTCCAAACCATAAGTCCTATTGAAGTCAAAGCCAATCCAAACCAGGATATTGCAGAGCAGCAAATTATGACACATTGTGCAGAATGATTTGGAAAACTACTGGCAACCCAGCTTGATGAGATGATGGGGCTTCAAAACCTGAGCCCCTTCCTCTGAAAATCCTACCAGGGAAGCTAACATAGAAGGTTGGGTGAAACCGGCAGTCAAGCTAAGGGTGCTCAGGCAACAGCACATATAAGGGAGAAGCAGCATTTGGAGCAGCCTTTGATCCCTTTCTCCAAGAAGCCTTTTAGAAATCAGAACTGCCAAAAATAACATTGAAATTCATATTTTCCCATCCAAATCCATTACATTTGGTCCTACTTAGTCCTAAGACCTGGGGCATTTAGCAAGAGATTGGGGTCCTGAGTCCTGGAGACTAGCAATATCATCTAATCCCAGCTTTTACACAAGCAAGAGATTGGGGTCCGTGTCCTGAGTCCTAGACACTAGCAATATCATCTAATGCCAGTTTTTACACAAGCCAGATATTGGGGTCCGTGTCCTGAGTCCTGGAGACTAGCATTACCATCTAATCCCAGCTTTTACACCAGCCAAAGATTGGGGTCGGTGTCCTGAGTCCTGGAGACCAGCAAACATCATCTAATCCCAGCTTTGACACAGCCGAATTGGGAAAGTTCTGCCACAAGCTGCCATTTCGCAACACTCGCCAGTTGGAAAAACCATAAATGGCACCAAGACCCCAGATAGCAATAACAAACTTTGTATGCTTAGTGGTCTCTTTAGAGGTTTCATGCAGTCAGGTTGGTTACTTGTACATTATAAATGTATTATACTTCAATATATTAAAGGAAAAGAAACACTTAGCCAAGAAACTAAAATCTGGTTTCAATGGAGCAGGTATCTGTCCCCTAATGTGTCTTTATAGACAGCCATCTGAAGCTTTGGTTGGAAGATCAACCTATCTCCAGCCAACCTGCTGGACAGCTGAAGCCTATGGGAAGGGCAGACAGATGCAATGACCCACCTAAAAACGATTGACGTTTACAGAAATATTATTTTATTGGTCTTTAATGTATAAAGCTTTTTTAAAACATGTCTATCTTTCTGACAACATATCATTAGCCAGTCAGTGGTAATTACCAGATTTATATTTGCAATAATAACTTAGCATTCTCTTCCACCCACATAGCCACTCCCATTATAAATGAACAGGGATGTAGAGCAGGGACAGAAGTATATTAAGATGTTTGTTAACAATGATTCCTTCATATGTAAAAAAATAAATCAAGGCAACTGGACTTGCTTGGCAGTTGCTGTACAAAGATACAGCTCATTAAGCTGGCCAGTTTCTCAGAAGTTTTGAGGAGGATCAATGGTGATATTGATATTTTATCTGTTTTCTTAGACACAAAGAGGGGATTTTATCAAAACTGGAGCAGACAAAATCTGGAGCTGCTGTGCACAGTGACCGATCAGCTTCTCTGTTTCATTTTCAAAGCTTAACTGAACAAACTTAAGAGAGAAGCTGATTGGTTGCCCTGGGCAACTGCTCCAGATTCGGTCTGCTCCACTTTTGATAAATTCCCCTCGTAGAATTTTAGGGTAGTAGACTTGTTTATGATGGTCTGCTCCCAGGTAGTCTGAGTTTGCCCTGCACTGGTCAAGCTACTGTCTACCATAGACAATTTTGTAGACTAAAGTTTCCCAGTTCTGTTGGCCCTCTGTGTTCTTGTACATAGAATTGTCAAAATTTAATTGAACGTTCTGAAGGTTTTGACCCAGGTAGGGCTAGAATTAAGAGCTTTGTAGGGACATTTTGTCCTGGAGACTATATGTACTAGCTTAAGTCTAGCTTAAGGTATCTCACTCAAGCCAAGGACTCTTAAACTGTGAATATGCCCTTACATACATTTCCCAACACTTCATGATGGTAGCAGCTCAATTTTATTTAAATTAACCAAACTGAACTTGGCAGCCCAACATTTTCTCACCGATCTTTGTTACCCGGAGTCTTTTATAATTCACTCTCACTCAAGATCCTTGGTTTGAGTGAGAGGGACCTAACTCGAGCTAAGGATCCTCACGCCAAGGACTCTTGAACACTCAGTATGCCCTTACATAAATTTCCCAACACTTTATGATGGTAGCAGATCAATTTTATTTAAATTAACCAAACTGAACCTGGCTGCTCAAAATCTTCTCACCAACCTTTGTTACCCCATGTCTTCTATAATTCTCTCTCACTCAAGATCCTTGGTTTGAGTGAGAGAGATCTCACTCAAGCCAAGCATACTCAAGCAAAGGACTCTTGAACTCTGAGTATGCCCTTACATACATTTCCCCACACTTTATGATGGTAGCATTTCAATTTTATTTATTTTTCTTTCAATAAATGTTTTACATTTTTTTGCATGTTTTACATTACAATGAAGCTTTCGAATACAACTCAGGTATACATTTATAGGTTTTAACATAGTATGAACTAAGATATTCTTTAACCTTCTACCGTATGGGCACTGCTGCCGATGGGGCAATGTTGACAATACCAGTGTTTAGCAGTAGCCACTAGTCAGTAATCTGTTTTTAAACCAAAGATCCAGTGTAACTAAGTAACAGCTTGTGAGCTGGATCTAACTAAAGTGAAATGAAATGGGCGTAAGTAGCATTTTCGATTTTATTTAAATTAACCTAACTGAACCTGGCAGCTCAAAATGTTTTATCATTCTGAATGTAAATACATTAAGGTGAAAACTATATCTTTTTTCTTCATTAAACAAAAACCCCCAAAAACTTGGATTCTGGATTGCAGCTAAAGTGTGTAAACAAAATGCAGGACTTACCTTTTCCACACTGACACTGAACAGAGAGCAGAATAGGAATGACCAATTTCAGGCAGCATTTATAGAGAGAGGGTGGCCTAGTTTTCCCAAAGGAGGCACCTTGTGTCACCTCATTATATGTGACTTTATGGACAGCCCATACTCGTTTAGCCGGTACCATCAATTAAGGAGTTCTGCCTAAAATGAGACAGCATGTGTCACCCAGCCCAGTGTTCCAAACACGTCCTGCCCCTCAAGACTCATCAACAACGTCTCACGTGACTCTTCGGGTGGCCAGTATTCATCTTTAGCAGATGATGATCCAGAAAAATAACAATTGACAAAAAATAGATCCAATAGAATGTATTATTTAAAGTGAATTTCTCATATACTTCTGATCCGGGTTATACAGTTCATAAATAAGATGTTGGATGACTCAGGTTTAACCTGAAGAGGATTTGTTTTTCATCCCAGAAAAAATCTCATTCTTCAAGTTTAATTAACCTGTTAATCTAGCTTCATAATTTACCTAATAGGCCATCTAATGCTGTCTCACTCGGGTCTTTTGTTTCAGGAATAAATTACATACTTTACATTTCTGAATTTTCAATACATGTTAATGGTCTAAAAGAAGATCCGCGACAACTCCCTGATGATTCGATAAAATATGACGCTGAGCTAAAGTGTTCAGACAAAACCTTTTGTTTTAGATGAAGTAGGGAAGGATTGAGCCCTCTAATGAAGCCCTTGATATCCGTAGGTTTCCCCTCAATTCCTGTCCTGGTGGGAACGAAGAGAGGCCCGAATTGTTGCCAGCTTTTTATCACAGTCGGTGTAGCTGTTAAGAGCATTTCTCTATAGTTCTGGGAAAGCAGTGCAAACCTGGCAATGGTTTTTATAAGGGATGCACTGATACCGATAGTATCGGTATCTGTGCCAATGCCGAGTATTTGGGCGAGTACTCGTACTCGACCAAATGCTCCGATGCCTAGCTTGATACTTGAGCTTCCCGTATCAGGAAGCCGGGCAGCCAGTCATTACACACTGCCCGGCTTCCTGATTGGCCAGGAAGCTGGCTCCATGCTCCCTCGTCAGTGGGGGTGGCAGAGTGGCGGGGAAGGAGCGGCACTATCTTGGGAGGGGGAGGGGGGGGGGCAGCATGAGGGAGTTGCGGGTCCTCTTCTTCCTCTCTGGGCCCCCCCAACAGGTGGAACGCCAGGGCCCGGTTGCAATTGCGACTGCTGTGACCCTGGTAGTTCCGCCAGTGGATGCACGATACAATTTTTTCTGTACTCGCCGATATCGAATACCGATACCAGAAGTGCCATTAAGGGACATGGAGGGAACATGGAGACGGCTTCCCGATTAGCAGTCTTTACACGTCTCCTTCCCCGCCACTCTGC